TAATAGAGATGGTGATCTTGTAGTTGCAAACAATTCTTTTATAGCCCCAAACCCAGCATCATTTTAAAGGGCTTTCCAGCCACTGACTGAGATCTCAATCCTTGTGGCTTCGGTTTCCCCTCTATGAAACCTCAAGCAGATCTGAGACCACTAAGTCAGTGTCCATAAAAGGGACACCAGGATATCCTGGTATCTCATCCTTTATGAGTATCCAAGCAGATATGAGACAAAAGAGAATCCTATCCAAAGACGGGATGTTAAATATGAGTTAACCTAATTAATTCTTACTGATTACTCCACTGTTCTATAGTCCCCAGGGATGAGTTGGCAGCCAGTGCACTTTGGCCCCACTGCTGAGGAGCCCCCTGCCACTCCATGCTGCTGCCTCTGTATCAGAGGCAGCAGGGCAGGATGCCAGCTGGGAACTGGTCCATAAGGGCAGCCAGTTTAAAAACCAGCTCCCCTCATGGATTGGCTGCCTGTCATCTCATGCTGCTACCTCTGATACAGATGCAGAAGTGCAGGGTGGCAGCAGCTCCTATCCAGTGTGGGGAGGCTAAGCTCCTGGACGTGGCAAGAGCTGGAACTGAGCCGGGCAACCTGCATGCTCAGCTTGTAATACACTTTAAATGCAGAACTGCAGCAGGTGTAAGTCCTGGACTTGGTGTGAGCCAGAACTGAGCTGGGCTGCTGGCCAGCCTGCTAAAAAATTTACTAGCAAAGGCCAGGGGAGAATGCATGTAGTCTATAGCATTAACCTATAAGCGTTTGCTTATTGGTTAATTGACTACACTATTACATCCCTAGTCCAATTTTAATACCTTTGCAGTAGCCTCTTGGCCTGGGATAACACAATAGGCTTTTTGAAGGCAACCTGCTATCTCTGGAACATGACAGCAATTAACACCAGGTAATGTATCCATTAAACAAGTAGTCCTATGGCCCCCCTTAGAGACTAACAAAAATATATAGGAGTTCACTCCAGCCTTCAAAGAGACCTATGAACAATAATACTACTTTAATCAAGTTTAATCATAAATGTTAATATTCCCTTCTGATTTTGAATCAAAGCTATAGTAACAGACAAGGGTTGTGTGTTCACATCTCAAGATCAAAGTAAACACCTAACATTCTACTGCTCTAACAATACAAATTTGCATTTCAAAGTTCTATTCTACCCGAATGTAACAGCCCACTTACCATTTACACATCTTCTCAACAGGTCTTTAAAGGCTGACCCTGGGTCAGTCCCCCTATGGCGCTGGTTAACCCTTTCTGGCTATGTACCAGTTTAATTATATGGCTAATGTAACTTCACATCCTCTCAGGTAGGAAAATATGATTAGCTACGCTAATTTGTTGAAAGTGATAATGAAGCACAAAGGAGGAAGTGGAGTACCCAAGGTCACCAGTGACGGCCCATCAATACAGGCGAACTAGGCGGTCGCCTAGGGCGCCAAGATAAATGGCCGTTGAGGGGTTCGGAGGTAGGGGCGCTGTCAGAAATAGAACCTTGCATTCTCTGTCTTGTGCTTTAACTACAAGTCCTCACTAGACCTTTTGAGAGACCTTCTGACAGCCAGTGGGACTGGATATTTAGCTGATTGTGTTTTGTCTAAAATAGGAAATATGAGTCTATTCATCTAGTACTTATTGTTACCCTCATCCCAGTATCGGAGTGCCTCCTGTGTATTTAAAAGTATAAATAACTGTTTTAGACCTATTGTCTGAAATTGCAACTAAAAAGTCCCATTATTTTCATAGAATGCTCAAAATTGAATCAACACAAACATTTTTCAGGGAATTTTCACCTCTTATTCTGCTGTGAATAGTGCTCCAGAAAGTTAGGACTAGAGCCACATTTTCTAAATTGTGTGGGATTAAATAAAGAAAAACAGATGAAAATCAGAGAAGCTATAGGAATGGATGTCCTTGAGATGCAAGCATTAGCTTGTGCATTAGTGAGTGCAAACAGATTTAATGACACCAGTTGGGATCTCCTGCTAACTATGCCAAGCAAGGAGGAACCCAAAAGAGGAAATAAGGATGTATCTTGGAAGTTGCTGGTGAATAGGGAGTCCTTTATTGGCCATTTCCCTGTGTAAATTTCTAAAAGACAAGAATTCCCCCTCGAATCCAGGCTAAAGAGGGGCAGGATTAGGATCTTTGGGAAAATGAACGATGTCATGAATATGAAGGCCAAGGATCCACATTGGTAAAAGGTTGGAGTCACACATGAATATGTAAAATGGGGCTTGTGTCCTATTCTGTGGATGACAATAGGGAAGCTGCCTTCATTTTTGACAATAAGCATTTATAGCTATAAATACCTTCATTAACTCCAGCAGCTCAGGACTGTTTCCAAAATACAAATGTGGTGCACATGATTAAGCTCAGAATTTTGACCAGTAGCTGCCAAACTAAGTCTCACTCTGCCACACTGTGCAAACATGCTGTCTCTGAGTTGAAGGCTGAAGGAAGAAGCTGAGACAGGCAAATACATGCACCTCAGTTTTTACAGAATAGCTGCACACTACCAGTTTTTCCTGTCGGCTAGTTTCAATACAAAAATACTTTTATTTCTCCTTTGCACAGATCCTTCCCTGGATGCAATATAAGAACCTGAACAGAATAACATCCACATTCCCTTACTCTAGATTAAATCTTTACCTTCCAAGCCCACTCATATCAGGGTACTATTCCTCTGGTTCAGCAAAGCTGGGTTCTTCTGGAGCTTAACATTCCACTGATAGCCATCAAGCCATTAGACCAGCAAAAGTCATCGGATGGCTTTGTTTTGAAGCATAACAGGCATTGTAACACCAGAAATCAAGCTTAGCTCACTCAGGGTGGTGCGTCTACACTGCACCCGTAGCTCAAAATAAGCTACACAATTTGAGCTATGCACATTGCATAGCTTATTCTGAGTCAATTTTGAAATAGCTTATTTTGAAATTTGGCGCTGTCTGCACAGCATTTACTTCTAAATAAACTACTTTTCCAAAACGTTCCTTAATCCTCATGGAATGAGGTTTACAGGGACATTGGAATAGCGAGCCTGTTATATTTGGACATATTGGGTGTGCTCAAAAGATGCAGAATAGCTATTTTGGGATATCCTGAAATAGCACTGAAGTGTAGACGAAGCCTTAGAGGGTGACAAGTGACACAGAGGGATTGCTGAAGGTGAAGAGTATGCCATTAAAATATTGTCTTTTGCAGACAGATGGAGGGGCCCTCTTGGAACATGAATCTTGTATAATGTACTAAGTCGGGAGGTAGGAGTTGAAACCAGGTTAGGCATCTAAAGGGAGCAAGTTCTCTTCAGGCCCAGCCTGTCTCTCTCAATGGGGTGTGTATTCCTTGGTGTGTCTGAGTGGGTGGGTGGGAGGGGA